GAAGGAGGGGAAAGGGCATTTATTGAAACCTTAAAATCTGTACCCCCATAATATGCTGAAAAAAAAAAGTCCCAAAACAACAGATGCTGGCATGGATGTGGAGAGAAGGAAACATTACACACTGTTGATGGAACTGCAAACTAGTACAATCTCTATGAAAAACAATATGGAGATACCTCAAGAAACTAAAAGCAAACCTATCATTTGATCCAGCAATCCAACATTTGGGTATTTACCCAAAGAAAAAAGAAAAAGTCATTTTATCAAAAAGACATGTACACGTGAATGTTTATTACAGCAAAATTCACAATCGCAAAGATGTAGAATCAACTCAAGTGCCCATCACTACATGAGTGGATTAATAAAAGTGGTATACGTACACCATGGGGTACTACACAGCCATGCAAAAGGTAAACTAACACCTTTCGTAACAACCTGGATGGAACTAGAGACGATTCTTCTAAGCGAAGTATTGCAAGAATGGAACAAATACCACATCTACTTTCCATTAAATTGTAATTAATCGATCAACACTCTAACAGATACAATGCACACTACCTTGATGATAGGCACACTTATAACTTTGACTCAAACTGCACAAAAGCAAATTATGTAACCAAAATGTTTGTACATCCATAATATTTTGAAAGAAAAAAAGAAACATAATGGAGTTTAGATATAATTAAAACATTTCTAGCTTAAAGGAGAATTTGGTCCCCTAAATAATAATACTTCTCAAAAATATAATATCTGGGGCATTTTGTTAATAATGAATAAGTTACTTTGCAGTAGAAACAACTGAAACAAACAAAAGGGTGTTAGATGGTGTGGATATTTCTGATTATTGGTTACTGGCAAGTTTTAAATGCTGTGCACTTTTAAATGCAGCAATTAGGTCTTCTCCCTGCACTCTCTTTCATGTATTTGTGGTGAATACTGATAGGAGGATGTGAGAGAATGCTACAAATTATCATTATTAATAGGAGGAGAGAAGGCTCATCTGAATTAGTTTTATTTTAAAGTCATTAACATCATTGGTATTGTGTGGTTTTAAAGAATGGTGCTATTACTTCCAACTCTTCAGTGACTGATATTCGATTATTGGCCTTATTTTTAAGGAAGAAAACTGTCTTAACATAGTTTAGGCTGTTTCATTATCTGGCCATTGCACTTTTTGCAAAGAAATGGAAACTTGTAAAGAGTTGCAAACATCATTTATATTCTAGAGGGCTCAAAAGTTCATTGTCACCTCTCTGATATCTCTGCAGATAAATTCTCACTCACTTGTGTCTGCAGTTAAGATTTAGCTTCCAAATTGTCACTGATTTTTAAATAATCATTTGTCAAACACTTGCTGTTCTCACTAATTCGTCCCAAGTTCTTTGGTCCGCATCCGGAGGTAGAAGGAGTAAGAGTCCCGCCTTCCCTGGATAAGATTCCTTTTTTAGGAGAGGGACACCCTGCCAGCAATTGCCATCTTGTAACAAGCGGTGAAATAGATAGATTGAGTGTACAAAAAGGGAAGAGTTTTTTGTGGTGTGGCAAAGGTATCCTGGAAGGCAGATGGGGTCCAGCTTGCTAGGACAAGGAGGAAGGAAAAGGCATTCCAGGCAGAGAGCAGCAAGAATGAGGCAGGAAAAAGCCAAGAACAAAAAACCAAAAAAAAAAAAATAAAAAAAATTTGAAAAGAAGCCTAAAAAAAAGTATTGGGTTTTTCCCCTCCCCCTCCACTGGATTATAAAAGAACTCCTAAATTCAGATGTCTCTAAGAAGTTAAGAAAAAGCCTAATTCTTGGTCCCTGGGGGGTCACTACCATTGTGAGCCGCCTGTGCTGCACAATGCCACTGTCAACATCACTCCTCCCCCATGTTCCGGGATGTCAGGCACGTCTGTTTTGAGGAGTCTTCAAAGGTGCCCTTTACAGCTCTCTTCTCCACTGGCCACAAAGGAACCCTTCTGCAGGCTTCAAGGCTACCGTCTGCGGTATAGAGTCTGCACGAGCATCTCGGAAGCATGCTCCATCTCTCGTGCTGTGGGTAAGGCTGGGATCAGGTCACTGCTACTCACAGAATCTCCTCCTCCTCGGTCCCTTCAATCACAAGGAATCAGAGTCTCCCAAGTAGGGTTATCAGCTTGTCCCGTTTGCCCAGTGCTTTCCTGGTTTTAATCCTGAAAGTCCTTTAATCCTGAAAGGTCTCCTTTTAGGAGACCCCTCAGTGCTGGGAAAACATGGATAGTTTGCCACCCACATCCCAAGAGTAGACCAGGGAATTGGATCTCTTTTAATATTCTTTAGAGATGTAAGTAGAGATTGGAATTACATATAATTACTTTTTGGTTCGCAAAGCATGTTTCTTTGGATGTGACACCGTGCAAGGACTGAGCCAAATATCGAAAGGAGCTTTATTTGGGTTTCAGTCCACACTGTCACTCCCCATTGAATGCTCCCCACTTCAGTTCTTGTCCATTCATTCTCCAAAATCCAGATCACCTCCCACCTTGCACTTGGATCCTGCCTTGCACACCCCAATCTGAAGAAATTGCCCCCGCCTCTGACTTTTTCTGGAAAGCCGTTTCCTTGCATTTTATTTGTCATTGAATCACATAGAGTCTTGTGACATTACTCCTACTGATAGAATAAGCCGGACTTTACATACTTTATTGCTATGTAACTTTTACCCTGTCCACATCTTATCTTGAGGGAAAGAAATTCCTTGAAAAAAAGAAAGTGTCATATTTGTATCTACCTTTAAGTCAGATAGAGTTTTACACACAGTGATTGCTGAGTCACTACGTGTTTGGTTGATTTGGTTTAGGTATTTCCCATCATTTTCTGTGATTCTTTGTAGGGAAGCACTTTGAAGACAGCTGGTGCTTGAACACAGAATCATTTGGAATACTAATTAAAAGTGCAAATTCACAGCTGTACCCCAGATCTCCTAAACATAAAGTGTGAGAACTCTGTTATAGTGGAGTGATCTCAGAGTTTTAGCCTGACATATCTGGATTCTAATCCAAACTACCATTGACCATCTGCATAACTGGGAGCCTCTTCATCTAAACCTTATTTTCCTATCTGAAAGATAATAAAACAGAAACCTCATATTGTTGTGAGGATTAATGTTATAACCTGAGTAAAGAGCTTAACACAGTACTTGGAAAATTATAGGGAATCAATATATATTACTCATATTACCCATGGACAAATTTCTCCTTCATATGAGCAGCACCACATTTCCATGTAGTTCTATACTAAATGAGATTTAAATACTCTTTCCCTGGGATCACCAAGTCCCGGGTGGTCTTCATAGATCTTTCTGAGACACCTCACCAAAGAGCAATTTATTAGAACAGCAAGATATGTGCTTTCTTTGTTGGCTTTTTTTTTTTCAGCATCTGCCCTATGGTGCCTAGACTTTTTAAAGGAAAAAAATAAATAAATAAGGGAAATTGAAACTCCTAGTCAACAGGAATCTCCAAATAAAAAGAATCTGTACTTTAAACACTGAACAATTGCAGACATAGAGAACGAGAGTACTCAGCTATTAGCATGTCAGTTCTGTCACAGAAAAAATTTTCAAAGAACAAGTCTAACATAGAATAGCCTAAGAGATCAATCAAACGAGAAACAAAGAAACAATGAAAGGAAGAAAGAGGAGGAGGAGGAAGAGGAGGAGAAGGAGGATTAGGATTCAGACGAGAATCAGAAAACATCCTGGGTAAGGGTTTCCCCATTGATGTGTTAAGAATGGCATCTATAATTAACACCAGAGCTACACTTTAAGCATATCTGTACATTATACATTGCTTGCTGTATATGTTTTTACAGAGAACTGTAATGTTAACTGTCAATACACTTTTCCAAATCATCCCATCACATAGAGCACTTTCTCAATCTTTTTGTTGTTATAAAGACCTTTGGTTAACATCATTTCCAGAAAACACACTACACATGTCTCTATTATTAGCTCTTCTCACACTGCTGTTTATATATAGAGCTGCCTCCTCTGCTCAACTTGGGAAAATCTAGAAGGCAAAGTTTCATTCATATTTGTGGCCCCAGAACTCAGCACAGACTTTGGCATGTAGTAGGTACTCGACATTGTCATTGTATTGGGTTTACTTGAGTTTAAAAAGATGAGTGAATATTACAGTCACTCTCCTAGTCCCCAGGGTGGACAGATAGAGGGGTGATCTCATTTGCAGTTGAGGACCTGAACAGTCACCCCTTTCAGAAGATGCCAGAAAAAGACCAAAGAGAGATCAACAAAGTTCACTAAAGATAGATATAAGTCCTTCGTGTAATTCTAGCTGTGTGATTCAGGCACTCTTAGAACCTACACTCGCAGGCTGAAATAAAAAATTAGACGACCTTTAGTGGCTGTGGGTTCGCAGCATGTAGCCTCCCCATCGGTTAATTTCTTGAACACTACCTCTTCATCCATTATTTAAAAAGTCATAGAACTGAAATTCTTGTGGCTTCCAGAGCAAATCTGTACCTCTTCCTAGTTTTGCAAGCCTGGGCAAGTTTGGTAATGTTTCTGAGCCTCAGTTGCCTCAGCTGCCAAGAGATTACACTTATAATCTCATGGAGTTATTGTCAGAATCAAGCAACATAACAAATGTGAAGCTTCTCCTGGCCCATGGTAAGCATTCAATGAAAAGAAGGAGAAGGAAGAGGAGGAGGAAGAGGAAGGAAAAGAAGAATATGGCTACAGAGAAGGAGAAGGGTAGGAGGAAGTAGTGGCCAGAAGGTTAAGTGAGGCAGCCATTTGTATGTCACCCTGCTCAGCTCTGGCACATAGCAGATTCTCAATAAACGGTAGTTTCCTTCCGCACACTGTGCGTACCCAGCGAAGAACTGCTGAATTGCTAAATAGTGATCCCTCAATCGATCAATAGATGAATTAATGAATAATTGACTTGGACTTAAACAGTTCTATTTAAGACAGTTTTTTGAGTAAGCAAGTTTAGGATCTTTTCTCCTCCTTGGTCTCACCCAGCCTCTCCTTTGATTCTTCAGTGATCTTATAACCTTCTATGTGAACCTTCAGGTTGAAGATCTCCAGTGTTTTCTCTTCAAACTTCCCTAAGAGCATTCCTTTGTGACACTTTGGGTTATGAAGTCAATAAGTGATGCTGAAACCTTGCATTGCCAGGTGATCAGAAGATTCTCCCCGAACAGAGAGTGTCAGCCCCTCCCCCAGCTTCAGGAGGACTCCAGTGTCACAGAGAGGGGACAGACATTCAGGAGTCAGACCATGCACTTGATGACACTCCAAGTGAGCCAGTGCTGAGAGGAACGGACAATCTTTGAGACTGGACATAGTCCATGCAAATGATGCTCAGGAAATGAGCCTGGGGATGGAGGTGGCCACATGCTGCCCACATTCAGCCTGTAAGGAAAGCCCCACCCCCACCCCTCCCAACTCCCTGGCTGCCTTCCTTCTTTCCGGTATTCGATGAATATATACTTGCTCTATGCTTGGCCTTCAGGATACAGTAGCAATAATAAGAAACAGTTCCTGTCCTCATGCAGAACCCCCTATTCTAGCTGTGCCCAAGTCACCAAATCAAACTTATCTGTCACTACCTGTAACCTCAGTGCTGTGCTCTGAGCAGATGATGTCCAGCTCACTTTCATGCCTTTTTAAAAATCTTTTTATTTGGAAATAATTTCAGATTGACAAAAATGCTATAAAAATATTACAAATAATTGATTTATAGTTTTTGCTCAGATTCCCCAAATTTGAAAATTTTACCACCTTGACTTTATCATCTTCCCTGTGTCTATCTGTACATACAGGTATTCTAAACCATTTGCAAGTAATTTGCAGACATGCGGTCCCTTTTATGTCTAAACACTTCTGGATGTACTTCAGCCAAACAAGGACATTCTGTTATACAGCCACATAACACGTCTCAAAACCAGCAAACTCATGTTAATGGAGTGTTACTATCTAATTCACAGACTTTAGTCACATTTTACCAACTGTCCTACTAGTGTTCTTTGCAGAAGAAAAGAATCAAATTCTGATCCAGAATCGAATCCGGGGCCCCTCAGTGCTTTTTAGTTGTGCCTTTTTAAATCTCCTTTAATCTGAAAGAGTTCCTCAACCTCCCCCTTTGTCTCTAACAACCGTCATGACTTTAAACGTACAGGCCGGTTTTGCAGATAGTCCCTCAATGTAGATTTGTCTCTTTCCTTATGATTTTGTTCAAGTTGTGCATCCCTGCTAAAATAACACAGAATGACGCTGTGCTCTCAGTGCATGGTGACGGGAGACATGTGGTAACCGTTCGGCCCAGAATGGGTGACGTTAACACTGATCACCCGGTTAAGGTAACGCCTGATAGCTTTCTCCACTGCAAAAACACTATTTTTCCTTTTGTACTTCGTAAGTGCTTTGTGAAGAGGTACTCTGAGACTATGTAGATATTACGTTTCTCACCAAAATTTCACTCAGTAAATTTAGCACCCTTTGATGATTCTTGCCTCAAAAAAAAAAAAAAATTACTGTAAGTCGTTGCCAAATGGTAATTTTCTAATTGCATCGTTCTCTCTTTATTTTTTAGCTGGAATTGTGCTATAAGAAAGAGCGTTCTCTTCTCCATTATTTATGTGTACAGCGGGTCCTCTGGTGACGTCATTTTGTTCAATGTCCTTTCCTTATAACATTGATGAGAGAAAAGAAATCGATCCCCGGGCAGAGCCACTGTCTGTGTGGAGTCAGCACGTCCTCCCCACGCCTGGGTGGGTTTTCCCCAGCTACTCCGGCTTCCTCCCACACCGCAGGGATGTGAAAATGAGGTCAGTTGCCGTATCTAAGCAGTCACAGTCCGAGCGAGTTGGGGTGGCGTCCTGGCCAGAGTTGGTGCCTGCCTTGTGCCCCGACCACTAGGATAGGCTCTGGCCAGCCTCAGCCCAGAGCTGGAATAATTGGGGAAATAATCATCTGGCTTGCTTTTATTAATCTTTTTAAATGTATGTATAGCTCACATTTATTTCAATGTTTTAATTTTAGAAGTGTTCGGGGTTTTCATTGAGAAGTTTGGTGATGTTTTTGTGACAGGAAAGATGCCATGGGAACTTAACTTTTGTTTGTATCAATTAGCCTAGGGTAAAATTCGTTTTGTCTTATGTCATTTCACTTAAGGTTGCAGTATCCAAGAACCCATCGATGACATTAAGTGAGGATTTAATGTACTGTGTGTTTCCCCGAAAATAAGAGCTACCCGTAAAATAAACCCTAGCAGGATTTCTAAGCATTTGCACAACATAAGCCTTACCCAGAAAATAAGACCTAGTGATGGGCGTGGCTACACAGCGTATCTGCACAACCCGTGCATTTCATCGCGGAGTGGTAAAGAAGACGAGCAGCCCATCTCATCTGCCCCATCGTGACAGCTACTATCCCAGAGGTGACCGGAAAGGTGCGGGCAGCTCCACCAACAAGGTCGGCTCCCCCTGTGGGGTCCCGGCCATCTGTGTGTGCTGCAAGCTGAGGCTTCAAGGGGAAAATAACACATCCCCTGAAAATAAGCCGTAGGGTGTCTTCTTGATGAAAAATAAATATAAGACCCTGACTTATTTTGGGCGAAACACAGTATATGTATATGCGAATGAATTTATATATATATCAGTGTATTTATTTCTTCTTACTGCTGTAACAAATTATCACAAACTTAGTAGCTTAAAACAACACAAATATATTATCTTAAAGTTCTGGAAGTCAAAAGTATAAAGTGGGTCTCTTGGAGCTCAAATCAAGGTGTCAGTGGGGCCTGCATTCTCTTCGCAGGCTCTAGGGGAGGACAGTTCCTGGCCTTTTCAGCTCCCACAGGCTGGCCATGTTCCTAGGCTCATGGTCCCTTCCCAGCAAGCACTCCGCCCTCCGCCTCCATCCTCACGCCTTCTCTGCCTCTCTCGCCTCCCTTTTCAGTTATAAGGACCCTTGTGATGACATTGGGCACAACTGCATAACCCAGGGCAAGCAAAATCCCTGACTTAATCACATCTGCAAAGTCCCTTTTGCCACATAACATGCTAAGGTGACAGACCCGCAAGTTCAAGGGATTACAACGTGGACATCCTTGGGGACCATTATTCTGCCTATGGTAATCAGTATGGACTCATGGATTCTTATTTTATTCACTGAATTATCATCTGTTACAGTATTGATTTTGCCTCTCAAATTGCCCTAGATGTGGTCAGTGGGAAATCCTTTAACTTGGCCCTGCTCTTGTGTCCTTTCCATCTGTCTCCATCTTTCTTTGAACACTTTCATGCCTTTTGGCACAAGGTGTTCTAGATTCAACTTGTACTTTCCCTGCCCAGACCTGTTGTAATAAGTCAGTTCCTGAGACATTCTGCTTTCTTTTATTGGAGATTAATGTCTAGAAGCTAAAATTTGGATATCTGGTGTTCTCATTGCTGCAGGGCTCTCTCATTGGACCAAGCTTAGAAATACACACACACACACACACACACACACACACACACACACACACACCCCTCTACTAATCTGTCTGTTTCTATATGCATGTATATATGTCAAACGCCATGAGCCGATGCCAGTACCGCCAATTCCACTCCGGCACCACAGAGTTTATTGTAGCCTTCTCCATTTCCATGTGTGTGACTCTCTTCTCTGACATTTTGAACTCTAGCTCTTGTTATCCACAGTATATTTTACACTTTTGCTCAGCCCTAAAAACATTTAAACTTTAGATCTTTAGAACTGTGAGTCCCCACCCCTACATAAACAGATCTGCTAACTATAGTTCACTTTTTCTGTACAGTTCTTTTTGTCTTTAAACTGTGGGAATATAGTAAAAAAATGAAATTCGAAAGTTGCTTGGGTTAATTCTCCCTCTCTACATTCAGTGTCCTTATGTCTCTGTGCTGCTTTAATCTTTTTTCCCCCAACAGGAATGACCACCTCACTTTACCAAGCAAATGTTGATCAAAAACTACAAATCAATTGGAAAGCCTTCCTTGTTGGAGTCGGCCCGTGTGATAGCTCCCTTATAGCAATTTCTATTTTATCTTAAATTGTTTTCTTTTCTCTGGGTTCCACCAATAGGAATGAATGTAACATCAGGGCGCGAGGATGACCTCTCGCCAGTCCAATCTTCCATGGAGCCTTCCAGATAAGGCATATAAATCTTTGCAGAATCAATGAAAACAGCCCTCTGGTTAGAGAAAAGTGGCAAAGATGGTTAAAGGGATGAGGAAAAAGAAGCTGAAGCAACACAATCATGTTCCTTATAATTCTACCACTCGGGGCTTTCCCAATGACAGTAGTATTTTATTGATGAGTCTATAATGTCGAGGATTTCTATTTGAGCTTCACAACATTCATCCAGCATAAGGAGGTAGGTATTACTGTTCCCGTCTTATAAAAGAGAAAATTGCGGTTCAAGTAGATTAAATAACTGGCTGGAGCACGCTGCTTACTGTGCGGTCAGGACCAGAAAAGGAATCACCTGTAGAATGAAATTTTTTTAATTTAAAAAATTCCATTACAAAGACAGCGGACTACTTTAACAAATCAAATGATTCAGAGATGCGCAAATAAAAGTTGATAGTCTACCCATCCTCTCCCCATATGCCACCAGTGTTGACCGTTTGGCATGTGTCTTTACACACCTTTGCCTTTCAAAAAAGTGTGGGGTCTTAAGACCCACATGAACTCCAAGATTCCAGGAGTAAAAGACTATACAAGATGAGGGAACTGGAAAGTAAATTCAATCCAGGACACCAGCGTCCAAGGCTCTGAGGCCCTGACTGCCTTCCTGACCTCTGCACATTCAAATCGGGATGGTTGCAGAGAGAGGAGGTGCTACCACCTGAAGCCACCAGGACCCTTGGGGATTGTGATGGTTAATTCTGTGTGCCAACTTGAGGTGCCTGGGTTGAACATTGTCTGAGGGTGTTTCCTGGTGACATTAGCATTTGAATGGGTGGACTAAGTAGAGTGAATGCCCTCTCCAGTCTGCTCAGGGCCTGAATACAACAAAAGGTGGGAGCAGAGAAAGGGGAGAGTTTGCCCCTTTCTTCTTGAC